CTTTTTTTAAATTTTAAACAATATTTTTATAATTACCTTTTTTTAAAGTAACATAAGATTTGGAGTTTATTTTTGATTGAAAGGTTTGAGGTCTATATTGTTTGAAAAGTTTATTCAAATCGTAAAATTATCAAGAGGAAATAATGAAATTTACTTCAAATTGCATGAAAATAGTCCCCCCCCCCCTGATTTCTGTTGATTATGTAATAAAATGAAACCCGTTTTCTCTCATCTTTCATAGTTTCATGGAGAGAAAAAAACCCATTATGTTCATCACTTTTTTAGATAATTTTATAGCTATGAATTTGAGTTGTAGGGGGGGAGGATTATTTTCTGAGTAAAATTTCTTATGAGGGGCTAGAGAGGTAAAACTTTCTGAAAAATAACTGCTGTAGCAAATAAAAATGATTGTTTTCGGTGGGGGGGGGATATTGTGTCTTTGAAGAAAAAAATTATCATTTTTTCGATTTCTTGAATTTTTAAACTTATTTTCCAAGTGTAATAGTTTCTAACCAGGGCTCGAAGAAAGTCAGAAATTTTACCCGTCCCCGAGGATGGCTTTTCCAACAATGTACCCGTCCTCTGAAACTAACCCGTAGCTTCTAAATAAATAAAAATATATTTTTCTCTTGTTTATTACAAACATTTATATAAATTGCACAATGAATTAGTAGTTACTTGGATTACAAATACTAGGTTACTAATAGTAAAACCTAGTATTTCTTTTATGAAAAAAATTTTTTTTTTATGAAATAATTTAAATGACAAAGGTCAAGTTATCTGGAATGTCAATTTATCCGAGGGTACTTCGTTTTTTAAATGAAACAAATATGACGTTTGCCAGTTCCACAATCAAGTCAATGATTTACCGAGGTTTCTGCACAGAAATCTGAAAGGGGTCTTCCATTTAGGTGGATGTTCATAATTGCGCTTAACGCTTCTTGTTTAAGACCAGTACGTAATGTGTTTTTTTGTAAGCTCATTGCTGAAAAGCCTCTTTCAACCACTGCAGTACTCCCACACAGAGAAAACATCAATTCCACCAAGCGCAGTATGTTGCTGTATTTCTAGATTAGAGGGTCATTTTAGAAGTGAGGCGCTAGACTCTTGTAAGATAACAAAAATTGAAAATGTATCACGAATATTAATGGGAAAATGGCCGTCCGCGCGGACGTCGGATTCGAGATATTTGTTGTCCGCAGGGAATTTTTGACCGCCGAGGACGGGCGGACGGGTGGTTTTTCGAGCCCTGTTTCTAACCCCTTTTTTTTACTCCCTGCTAACTTTAGTAAAAGTATTTGGCCAGAAGTTTGACTAAAAACGGGTGGAGGGGTGAGATTAGGAAACCCTAGTACTGTGCTTCCAAATTTTTCAAATTTTTTTTAAAGAATTTATGTAAATAAATTGCTCTTTCTTCTGATTACTCTTGTTTAAATAATTAAAAAGCATAAAATGCATCAAATTATAAGGCCATTTTTTTCGAATATACTATTTTTAGTACGTGTATGTTTCTGTCTCTATGGGAACATCAAACGTTTTTTTACAAAAGTGCTTTGGTAATGATTTTGGTAAAATTAATCCAAATATAGTTTTATAGTATGCGATAAAATTTAGTAAATGCGGTAAAATTTGGGTATTTTATCATGATACCTTAGAGCGTGGTATAAGCTATTTATTTTATCAAACTTAGTTATCAGTTTTGTATTTTTTACTAAATGTGTGGTAAAAAAAACTATAATTTTGAAAACCAGAATTTCCGCTAAAGCGTTAACTATATGAACGGAAAATAACCAAATAAATAGTTTAAATACCGTATATTTCGATATACCAAAATTATGACTTTTTTTTTTTTACCAGAACTGTCATTACCATTCAGTACTATTAGGGTAATTTGACCAGAATTCTTTTCATCGTGCAGTTTTTCCAAATTTCTTTTTTCTTTTTATAGTTTTATAATTCAGCTGTGTTCTAAATTTAGTTATGTATTTCCCCCTTATTCTGATTCTAGTATTAATTTCTTTACCTTGTTTTCTTTGCATTTTCTATTAAAAAATTCCCACATTTCGTCCTAAAAGTTAAAAAATTCCACCAAAATTAATTAATATATAGTTAACATATTAATGAATTATTAATTAATATATTATCTTTATATACTCAATCGTTTATCTGTTATAATAATTTCAAAATATTTCTCGTAATTAATAAAGGATTAAAAAATAATAATAATATTGTGTATTTTGTCGCCAAATGCGAAGGTGTTTTAAACGCTACGTCCCGTTTCTCCCATGGGACTTGGCAAATCATTCCGAATATTCTATTTTTGACATTTGCTTCTGAGAATCTGCTGAACACAAACCTACATCTTCCTATTTTACAACCTGTATACATCGGCTGAGAATTATGTATTCTGAAATTATGAGTGCCCGTGTTTAAAGCAGTGTTTGAATATTCCATTGTAGTTTTCTCCTTCGATTTTTTTCATTATGATTTTATTGTTATGATATACGATGAAAGCTATTTTAATATTCTTGGTGGATATATTTGTCTTTCTTAGTGTTTATTCATGGTAGATTAAAGAAGAAATTTCCGTAAATGAGCAAAAGTTCCGTAATTCTTTACTTGCTGCGGATCGAACAAAGATTTGAATGGCATGAGAAATTCCAAGGTCAAGAAACAATGTCATGATTTTTTATATGGTGCGCGTGTAATTTATAGGAAGTTACGATCCTTAAGTGCAAGAGTTCATTTCAAGAATTAGAAAGACTTGAAATATTATGATTTATAGTGAATTCATCAGTACTTGGATTTATGATATAGCGAAAATTCAAAACAAGGAGAAGTTTATGTGACGTTTCGATATCAATAATACACAATCCACCTTAAGAATTATAGTATTGCAAATTTGAACATTCATAGTAATTTCTGCTACGAAGTGTGCTAATTAATGTCAAGATTTATGGTAAAACAAATCATATAGTGAAATTTAGAAAACGTTTTGACTATATTCGGAATATTTTGTCATTTTCGATTTATATATGCAGCAATCGATTTCAGATTTTATGGTATTGTGAATATTCAGATATGGTAAAATTTATGAGACATTTCGATTTTCAAGTATGATTTTCCATTTAAGGATTTATAATATAGTGTGTGAATTTACGTGATATAGTGAAATTCATGAAAAATAGTAATAATCATGGTGTCATAAATATTTAGATTATATTGAGAAATTTTCAAGAAATTTCGATTGCCAAGTACCAAAATCTATTTCAGAATTTATGTGATGAAATATTTATAAGTATTTTGATTTAAATCATGATATTTATCATATTAATGAATCATTTAATGTGATTAGCTCAATTATGCGTAATTATTTATCTATTAACTGAGCAGTTCCCAGAGGAAAAGGAGGAAAAAAAACATGCCATGTTTAAAAATTCATTGGTTAATTATTGTGTTATTATCAAGATCAAAAAATGAATTTATTATAGAAATCATATCACTTTGAAATTGTTGGAAAATTTGAATACATTGCGGATTCTTTATATAGCGGAAGTATTATTATTGAAATTTAAAACTATTGTATCATTTAAACTATTGCTGCAACAAACAGTTTTATATTAACAGTTTTATTTTTCATATATTTGCATCTTGTTTAAGGAGAAAATGAAGAACCAAAATTTGCTTTTTATTCCGGTTAAGGTAGCTATTTAATTCCTGTTAAGGTAGCATTTTAACAGTTATCATGCCTGTACTTAAAAAAGTAAAAGTTACTTCATTTTTTATAAACTTGATTTAGTTTTAACTTTTTCCAAATATTAGTATTAGCCTTTTAAAACTATGTAATATTAATTTATATAAATCTAAATTAATCTATTTTATTATTTTAGTAGAAATTTTAACAATACAGTTTTGGTTGAAAACTCAATTTATATTATTATTATTATGATTAAGTTTGTAAAATATAGTTAAATTTTATGCACTAGCATCTTACTGAAACTATTTTAAATTGAAACATTTCTGAAATATTTTTTACATATTTTGAATAATTAGCAGTTCATACTAGCAGCTTGATGGAGAAAAATTTTTTGGTAAAATTACCCTAATGTATGGTAATGACATTTCTGGTGGAAAAAATAACAATATAATTCTGGTTAATAAAACCAAAATATAGGGTATTTCAACCATTCATTTGATAATTTTTCAGTTCATATGGTAATGGTTTACCAGAAGTTCTCGTTTTCAAAATTATAGTGCTTATTGCTTTTACTACTTATTGCATTTAATAAATTTTGTCTCATAATTTAAAACCATATTTTATTGTTAATTTTGCCACAGTCATTACCAAAAGCTTCCGTAAAAATTAACGAGCTTTTTGATTATTCCCATAGTACCATGCTTCCATCCAATTTTAACCACAACATCGTGTTATCTTGCATAAAATTGTTTAATTTGCACGATATTAAGGTTCAATATGCCACCATTCAATTATGAGTGATAAAACGGTTCCAAAATTTCTAACAGTGCATGATTATGTGAACCAATATTTACATGTGAGAAGTAAATGTACAATTATATTTAATTACTTTATTAAATGAAGCAAATTCATAAAGAATTGAGTGCTTGTAACTCTTGAAGAAGTGAAGTGATTGTGCTTAACCATGTTATTTAAATCAGATTTAATTGAATTGTAAACGACCGTCTCGCGCGTGTATTGAACCTGATTGCCTTCTGAATCGACAAATGCAACGATTTACCTACGATGACGTCACTTGCCGGTATCCTATTGCAAAAAAGTCATTATTGAGTATTTTTGCGGATTTCTTTTTAGCTCTTTTGTTTTAATTATGTTTCTGTGAATGACTTGGTAACTAGCCACGTCCAGACTAGCGTTCTGACTAGCCACGTCCAGACCACTTAACAAATCTTAAAATAGAGTTATTTCTTTAATTTGTTTCATTTAATTGTTTAATGATTTAACCTATTTAATGTTTTTTCAGAACCAAGTGCCATGTCCATTGGTGACCGTCACACAAGAAGAGGTCGACCCAAGTGCGGACATTCCTGTGACCAATACCTTAATCGAAGAAGAATGTACCACCCCTCCAGCCAGAGTACGCATGCGATCCTTGTCAGGAGGTGCTTACAGACTAGCCCCGACACTGCCAGCCACAGGGCGCATGCGTAGACAATCCGGGGACGACGTTCTGACAAGGGTTAGCCCATCCCGACGTGCTGCTCTTTTTGAACATTTCAGGCCTAGGTCGAAATCGGATAGTAAAGGCAAACGACCCACATTTCTCACCAGCCTCAAAAACAGTATTTTCAGCCCTCAACGAAAAACTTCCCTCGAGGCTGAACCCCCTCCTTTAGAACCTTTACAACCAGGTGGTGACTACCGGCAAAGATCACGGTCTGGGTCTGAAACCCGAGGTGGCACCATGTCTAAAATGATTGACCTGTTCCGCAGTCGTTCCAACTCTTTATCCATCGATTCCAGAAGCAAGGTTAGTGTATGGTATAATTTATGTCTGGTTTTTATTTATTATACTATTTCGTACACAAATAGGTTAATTTCGGGAAAAATGTTACTCCTTCTCCAACGTCAGTACTTTTATGAAAAAAAATTTAAGGTGAGCCTAGTGCCTCATATTGATACTGAATGAAGTACAATGAACTGATTTGGATAGTACTAAATCTACCCTAATGGAATTTATGAGTAGGCACTAAAAAAAAGATTTGTTTTTCAGAACGCTAAATTGCAGTTTCATTCGATTTATCAATTATCTTTACTAAATGGAAATTTCATTCCGTTTAGCGAGCAAAAATACACCGGAAACTATGTCTTACTTCACTTGTCTCTATAGAGCAATGATGTCCAACTGGCGGCCCGCCAACACATATTGTGCGGCCGCCAACTTCTTATTCAGGCTGATCGGCCTCAGTTTTCCCATTAAAATGTAAGCAAATTGTTTTATAATCCTTCTGTTCTATTGTTTTATAATTAATAATTCAACTATTAATTGTTATTGTATAAAAGGTATGAGTTTATAGTTCAACTTTTTCAAACTGTGGCCCGCCAGGTGATCAGTGACCGGAATTCTGGCCCTTGGGCTCTTTTCGGTAGAACAGCCCTACTATAGAGGATATAAAATTGTCTCCCCAAATCAGTTTTATATTCCTCCTTCCAGAAAAAGCGATGCGTAGCAAACAGTTATACTTAAAGTGCATTAATTTAAAAAAAATCTAAATGGTAATTTCATTCCATTTAGTTATCCCCTTTACTAAGTTGAAGTTTCATTTCATTTCGCGCGCAAAAATACACCGGAAACAATGTCTCTTTTCTTTTACCTGTATAGAGCATATTCAATTGTCTCCCTAAATCATCTTCGTATTCCTCCCACCAAAAAGTTCGAAGCGTAATAAACTGCTATCATGGTGAAATACATTAGTTTTTCAAAGACATTAATGCAAATATCACGAAATGCATACCGATAACGGTCGTTAAAAAATAATTTACATCGAAACCATATTATCTTACGATATCTTGCGACTCCATAGCTAAACGTAAACAAAACCATGGAACTCTTTAATTTTGCATCCAAAAATAAGTTCCAAACAGGTTTTTGGAGAACTTCCTCTGTGAGTTGATTTATACTGCACTGCTTAGAAATAAAATGCCAGGTAATTTTTACCACCATTTGTCATTCGATCTAAGTAGTGATAGTATAATGCGTGTATCCACCAGTATTGTCGTCGGATAAGGATGAATACTAGACCGTCGCCAATAGCTCATTTGTTAAGCTCTATTGTGACTTTAACAGCCATAACGACATGACATTAGCAACCTGAAGAAGTGCTTATCAAATTGACACTATTTCTGGAATCAAAAACCTCACCCTGCTTGGATAGGCGACAGAAAAAATCATGTTGTGCAAAAATTTTAATATCCCACGCCTGAGCCACGATGGCTCAGGGGATAAATCGTACGCCTTCCAATGCAGTGAACCGGGTTCGAATCCCTGTCGATACGAATTCCGCATCCGGCTTGCGCCGAGCACAGTCCTGACGTGAAATATCCTTGTCGTTGACGGATCATGAGTTTGAGTCCCCTTGCCGTCAGGCTAACCGTGGGAGGTTCTCCTCGTCTTCCTCTCCATGTAACGCAAATGCGAGTTAGCTCCATTAAAAAGCCCTCCACGAAGACAGCTTTCTCTTAATACTCGATCCAGGAGTTCCATTGTCTTCTGGATTGTTTTCAAAATTACAAGGTTACGGAGTTGAACGTTAGTAGTCGTAAACCCATAAAATTGGGTCGACTGTTCAACGGCGGCTGTAAAATATCCCACGCCTGTATTCCGACCTGTCTCGGAGGTGCTTGTCTGAGAACCGTGGCAGCTCAAGGGATATAATGCTCGCCTTCCAATGTGGTGAACCGGATTTGAATCCCAGCGATTGGTAGTCTCGATACGAGTTCCGCACTCGGCTAACAGCGATCACAGTGCTGACGTAAAATATCCTCAGTGTTAGACGGATCATGGGTTAGAGTCTCCTTATCGTCAGGATAACAGCGGAAGGTTTTCGTGGTTTTTCCTTCCATGTAATTACACGCTGTTTAGTTCCATCAAAAAGCCCTCCACAGAGGCAAAATTTCGCCCAATACTTGATCCTTGTCTTCTGAATTGGGTTACAAAGCTACGAAGTTGAACATTGGTAGTCGCTAATCGAAAATTGGGTAGGCTTTTCAAAGACGAATATAAATGCTTGCAGGCTAGGAAAATCGGAGGGGAAAAATAAAATTTTCATTTCTTTTGTGATGACACATATGTGATATCAGGTCTCTAGTAGATAAGGAATCAGGAATACTGTGGCTTAAACTGCTTCTTCATTGTGAAGATACGTTTATGTGAGAATCCATAGAATCATTAGGAACCTGTTCATATAAATCGTATTCTTCTTCCCTTATCTATATCATTATAACAATAAACATAAGTTTTTAAGCCTAGAAAACTGTGGGTTTTATAATTGCCGCTTAAGTATATGCTCCCATTTATATTCTTAAATCAGCTCTCGTGAGGAAGGAGCGAGTAATAAGCTGCACTTGAAAATTGTAAACATATTAAATTTATTCAGATGAGAATAAAAATCAATTGAAGATGTTTATTTTTTTTATTGCAAGCGAAATATTGTTAATATTTTATAATACAAATCACCAATTACCAACTGCTGAAGTAAAATAGTATGATAATGTAATATTTAATAGTGTTCATTTTTGTACTATGTAATGTAATATTGACAGTTGGGTATTTGTAACTCGAAAAGAAGTGAAGTGATTATGCCTAACCATCTGATTTAATTGGATGCCTGTAAGGGACGTCACGCGTGTATGTTGATCCTGATAGGCGTCTGAATCAGCAAATGTCACGATTTAGGTACAATGACGTCACTTGTAGGCATCCAGTTTAAAAGTATCTCATTGTTTAACTATGAATAGCGCAGTTTACATGTGTATTTATTTTCTTTTTCTATTTCAGAAGCCTTTATCCTCCATAGTGCCTCCAAGTAAGTTCAAAATTATTTAATTTAAATTATGTTGACTTTTTAAGTTGTTTGTTGCCATAAATGAAATTGTAAGTTTCTCTATTCAGTTCACGAAGGGAAGGGGGTCATGTAAGAGTCCAGAGTTGGCCGTCGATTACAGTAATCGATTACAACTGTAATTGATTACAGATAATTACAACTATGTAATCAATTACTTGTAATCACGATTACAAGTGATTGATGACTGCAATCGACTATGTAATCATGATTACAGCTGTAATCAAAGTTGTAAACACGATTACAAGTAATTGATTACTGTAATTGTTTGTTGTAATCATGATTACAAGTATTACTGTAATCGAAAAATGTAATCGATTACATTTTTGGCCAACTCTTAGTCTTATATTAAGTTAAATATACAAAAGTATCCAATTAAAATATATATTTTTTTAAAAAAGCAGTTGCATAACTTTAGCATTTCTATTCAAGTTAAACTTGTTCATTAATCAAAATTTTGTTGAAACTTTTAGAAAATCTCATTTACAAATTAAAATGAGTAAGTTACCCTACTTAGAACTATAAAATGTAATTTAAAGATTCATCTCGATCTGAATTTTTGCACCTTTAAAACTCGATTTTTGAGTTTTTGGTTGCAATGTTTATTAGAGTACTTTTTTTCATTTTGAAATTTTTCCATAGAATTAACTGTATGACATTATTGCAGTTTTAAATGCATTTGATTTTAATATTTATTAATTTGAGAACGATAATCGAAAGATATTGAGTATTATATTTAATTGATGGTGTTTAAACGCAGATAAATTTATTTTTAATTGCTTTAGAGCACAGGGTGCGTAGCGTTTTTAAAAAGTGCTTAAAGGTGCTTCTTTTTGATTTTCATTTTTTAAAAACCCTAAGGTGCTTTTTTCATTGGGTGTTTTTAAGAAGTGCTTAATTTTCCATTTTTAAAACTGAGATTTTTCCTTTGCTATGTTGATTTTCGCTTCGAATTATGCAAAAAGATACAGTTCAGATTGTTCATTCTATTTCGGCGTATTGTCAGTCCGTAGCGTATGAAAACGCCATTCGTTTTACCTGATTCAAAATTTCATGATTTTTGACAATTGTCAAAAACAATGACAAAATAAGATAAAACCGTCAATTATCCAAAACTTTCCAACCCAAAGTGCTTAAAAATATTTTTTGAGTGCTTAAAAGGTGCTTATTTTTTGATTAATAATTTGGCTACTCACCCTGCATAATCATACATAATTTTAATCATTTTTTTAGTTCGTGGGCTCACCAACATCACAATGGGAGAGGGATTTAAGGTTTTCATTTCTCACATGATGCCAAGCCATTTTTAATTCATTCTAAATTGTGCTTTAAGAATTTCAGTACAGTTGATTACTTAGCGAATAATTTAACTTACATGGGAGACATAAGTAACTATATCACTACTATTATATGGTATAAACATTAAGAAAAATTCATATAAATTCGAGCATTCGGTGCGATATTGTAGATGACAGTAGGACTTACAACAATTTATAGATTTAAATCATAATTTTAGGTATATGCTGGCGAAGAACTAAGGGTAATGCTGACATATGAGACATGTTTCGAAATAGTAGATTCATGTGAAATATGAATGTAGCCTATAAGTTCGAAGCAATGTTGTCGATAGTGAAATAAATCAAGAGCAATCGTTACATTTAGAAGGCAGAGGCGCCTTCGTAGGCGTCGAGTGAAATATGATATTATGTGGATGTCAAAGTATAAGCTACGGCCATATCTAGTTTATCTTTTCTTGATAGAATGTCAACATTTCTTCATTTTAACACTTCTCTTTTTATCTGTCAGAAATAATTTTACTCCTTTTTTTGTTGTCAATATCAGCAAAGATCATTTGCTTTGGCGTATTTGAATACGAAAAATAATCTTAAGCATGTTCTTTTTTTTAAAATTTGTATCTTTGTAGGGATATGTATGAAATTTGTATGGTTATTCAGGGTAAGTTTATGTATGGAAGTTATTTTGGTGGTAGGGTTAAGTTTTGAATAGCAATCGAGTAAATAACCTTTACAGCTTTGCTGGCGCATATGCGATCTTTTAAAATCGAAATTTTCTATGACCAATTGAGACCGAATTTCTTTGATGTAGCGTTGAATCTCCTCTAGAATGCATGAAAGTATGTGGNGATTTTTCTATATATTGAATTATTTTTTATCTCTCACAGAACCTTCTATGGGCCGAAACGAATGTTGCTCCCTAAAATTATTCCTCATAAGGTATACATCCCACTAGTTTATTTTAAAATTGTCGAGTCACACTTCCCTAATTTCCCTTGTTAGTAGAACGTTAAATCAATGAGAACCCTGAGCTTGTTTCTTTGCAATGAGACGGTTCCATCTGGGGGTAATTGTTTTAAAACGTTAAACAATTTATGTCACTACCTTCGGGAGCCCCTTTTTTTAAATAAATAAAATTTTAATGGAACACAGATATTTTTAATGTTTGGTATAAACCTAGGAATTTAAATTCAGTTTCAATGGAATGGGCGGCCCGGTACCATTTGAAGCGCGGACCGGGGGTTGGGGAACACTGATCTAGGAGACCTATTCTGATCACTGAAGCATTGTCCAACAATGAAACCGTATTGTTTTTTTTTCTCGCGTAGTGCCGTTTACTGACCCTCAACAGTGAGCTGTCAAACTTTTTTACCTTTTTTGGTTGCCAGCACTAAATTAATTAATTTTCTATCTAACTTCAATCTTTAAATGTTGCTTAAATTTTGAGATACTTTATAACATGGAAGATAATGTAAAGATTAATGAAAAGAGAAGGAGAAAAATTATTCAAATATAATATTTTTAAAAAATATTTAAAATTTTTTTTTGCGAAATTAAGAAGCCGGAAAACAAAATAAGAAAAAAGATGTAATCTCGACTTCAGCTCACACAATTATATCCTCAAAAAACAGAGCTTTTTAATTTTTTAAAATTTTTTTTAAAATTTTTAAATATCTTTTTTAAATATTTTTTAGTATTTTGTACATAATAATTATGTACATTGATATATGATTTGTAAATATTTTTTAAAATATTTTATTTTGATATTTTTTTTTTGGTCTTCTCTTTTCTTAAATATTTATATTTTTTCCATGTTCTCTATATAGTGTGGCATGTTTTCTTCATTCATGAGTTCTATATGCTTCCACATTATGCGCACTAAATAAAACTACTAACTATTATTTTTCTCAATTTGTTTAATTAATCACTCTTTTCTTTTTATCGTTTTTGTCATTATTGTGTTATATATTTACTTGACACAGATTTTTTTTGTTTTCCCCTACTCACTCATCCCCCAACTGAAAAGTATATAATTGTACACAATCTAATGATTAAGAAGGAATTTAAAAAAAATTGAACCAGCATAAAATATAATGGATAAATAAGTGTAGCATTTAACGATTAAATAAGCATACAATTATATTTCCACCCATTAAATTAAATCACTATAATCTGCAATTAGTAAATCTGTTTAAAATTTAACTACAAGTCGGAAATCTTGAAAGGTTAAATTCAGCAAACAGTAAAATCGTATACCTAAACTGTGGTCTTCATATAATCATTTATTTAAATTTTATAATTAAATTATCCTCATTTATTTATAATATTATGTTCCCCTTCCATCTATTAATTTCTAGCATACACCTGGAAAAACATGTGACGAAAAAAACAGTCCGCAATCTTAAAATAAAGTTATGAATATAAAATGTTCTAAACATCTGCTTTTAATCAGGTTTCAAAAAAGAAGAAGTAAAACAGCCAAAGGGTTCAATTTTCGCCAGCTTAATAGCTAGACTCAATCACCCCTTTTTATTGTCCTACTTGCCGGTATATCAATTATGAGAAGCTATATATAACATTGTTTGCCTGTGCCTTCAACTCCTCTTCCAGATTTTTCCATTTCTTGCGCACGCGCACCTTCCGATAATCCCAAATTCGCGCAACGTTCGATCGTTCCTTGTGGTCGTCTTCAGGTGCCTCAACCGACGGCCCACGAGGTCCCTTTCTCAGCCGTCCCAGCTGCTGCGACCCGATCCCTATGCCGTCTGCGGCCCCGGCCGACAGTCCATCGCCGGCTCCCATTATCACCCGAAAAGTTTGGTACAGAAGAGCTGGACATTTCAAACAAGATGATTCGAGTTCAAAAAGGTCGTATTCTCAGGCTCTAAGAGCCTTCCGTGTCCACCTACGCAAACGCCGAGACGTATATACGGTGAGTGGGGATGGCTATACGTCAGACTGCACCGGTAGGTTCTATTTTTCTCTGAAATCACTTGAACGCTCAATTTTTAAGTCCGTTAATTTTAATTCGCGAGAACTTAACGAAAAATATAATTTTTCGCTTAATTCTTTGAGACGTATGAGTGTTTTCTACTTCGCATATAATGGGTAACCATAGCAACTACTTGGTGGTTTCTAAATGTAGATGATGTAGTAGTAAAAGATAATTAGAAAATTGAAAATTTCAATCAATGATAGATGAATTTGAAGGATTTGGGAAACGAAGAACAATGGTTTTGATATTTAAAAACATAATTTTATAAATTAATGTAAAGTATTTTTAGGGGTTAATTATAATGAACTAGTTATAACTACTTAATTAAAGTAAGTTTTTCGTGGGAAACATGGTTTGTAATACTATAGGTTTTAAATTATGAAAAAAAAAATTGTTTGGGTTGCTCAGTTCTTAGAAATTCCTCATTTCTTCACTAATTAAGCTACAAGATTTATGGATAAAGCGAAGATTTTCCGTTTTTTTTCTTCCACAGACATCTTGATCTGTTACGAATTTTATCTGAATCGAAGGATTCTTGTAATTAAATTGACTGAATCGCTATTGAAATCTCTATATTTCTTGAATTAAATTTATTTCATACATAAACAATTTCTGATTTTCTTTCAATGAAGATATTTTCAAAAAGTTCTTTAATTGATCAAATACTGAATTTT